GCATACATGCGTTTCTACGATTGTATACAATCTTATATCTATATAAAAGTAAAAAAACAAAAATACCGAACTCCAAGGAAAATTCAAAACGGAAATCAAATGGCAAAATCAAAAGCTCAAACATGTCAAACGAATGGAAAACAACTGTCATATTCCTGACTTGGTACAGGCTTTTCCTTTATAGAAAATTGTGGATTAAACCTGGTTTTATAGCTAACTAAACCTCTCACTTGTATGACAGTCGCATAGAATTCCATTATATTGACAACAATGTGTGAGCAAAATAAACAGACATAATAGGTAAAAATGTCAAAAATTGGGATACGGCAGTCACATTGTGTTATAATCTTAATCACCAAAAAAATCAAATAACTATTTGAACAAAGAAAAACAAAATGGCATATAGACACTTTATAGAGTACAAAGTACATACGCAAATTGACCATAGCACAATAACACAATGGCGGGATGTATAAATACCGAGCCACGTCAAAAGCATATTACCTAAAATGGACTAAACATTAAAGGTTAAAAATATACAAAGACAAATAAAAAGAACACTATAACACGTAATTAAGAGGATAAACAACGTCAGTACCTAGAATCTATACTTTGAGACCATCATGTATTATTTGTGAAGTTGATACGGAATATTTATCAACAAGGTCTTGGTACGTGTGTATCTTACGATGAACTTTTTAAGAAAAAGACGAGACGTTCTTTGACATTACCCTGGTTCATCAACTTTCTGCTCAGACACTGGTGACGTTTTATGAAGTCTGAGTAGCAGCTGCAAGCTCCAGAATACCGAATGAGTTGGGAAATGTTTATCGCACATGCAGGTGAAGTTGGTATATTACTGCTAAGGTGGGGGAAATTTATAAATTTATAGTACCCTAGATGTGATGATAAGGGAGTTCTGAAATTTTTATCAGTATCAAGTTTTAGGAAGTACTAAATGCTTAATACATTATTAGGTAGTAATGACTTCTATTATGAAGAAGAAACTAAAGTTTGTGCCTAAATTTGCAATAACAATTATTTTACTTTTAAACATTCAGAACTTGCAAATTTTATAGATAAGATGCAAATAAAATACTGAATTGAACATTTTAAAAGATGATAATGGCTTGAATAAAATTATTATGAAATGTAAGCATATATATTCAAATTTAATTAAACTTACCAATATACTCTAGTCATTTAATCGATTTTTAAAGAAAAATATGACCATACACAATTCTTACGACAGGGTGAAAAATGAAGTAGACATATTTGTGTTTAAGTTAAGACCATTTTTAGCCGTGTATTATTTTGGGAGATTTAACTCGAAATTTAGACGACTTTTTACACTTGTGTCACCGCACTATAGGGCTTAAGACAACGGAGAGAAAATTATGGTGTTTTTTTGTGGCATCAGCAAAGCCTTTGATCGGGTCTGGCATAAGGGACTTTTCTCAAACTTAAACAATATAGAATTTCTGTAAATCTACTAAATTGGTTTTGTGATTATCTATCCAGAAGGACCCAATGGTTGGTCTTAAACGGAAACAATTCAGCATGGAAACAGATAAATGCAGGTGTTCCACATGGCTCAATTGTAGGTCCGCTTCTTTTTCTAATCTTTAACAACGACATAGTAACTGATGTTAAAGCAACAATCAAATTATTTGCAGACGACACAAGTATTTATTAAACAGTAGATACCCATGAAAATGCTCTGAAATTCTAAAAAGAGATCTGAACAAAATTCATATGTGGTCCTCTAAGTGGCTTGTAAACTTTTATTCAGAAAAAACAGAAACCACGAGTATGTCAAGAAAATCAATAAAACCTAGTTGTCCGATCTTAAAAATAAATAATATTGACCTTCACGAACGCTCATAAACGCTTTGGTATTATTTTTTTTCAAATACTGGATTGTGGAAGAATCACATTGATTATATAGTTGTGGAGAGTTGTCTCATTAGCAATCATACCACATCTTCTTATTTTTATATATACAATAGAATAAATATCCTTAGGAAGATGCGTTTTATACTCAATAGGCTCACTTTAGAAAAAACATGTTTTTAATATTTTCGACCAATTCTTGAATACGGGGACATAATATGAGATAATCAAACCCAATATATAATAAAGGAGAACATGTTGAAATTGTAGCAATGAGTATTGTAACAGATGGGACTAAATTAACTTCTATATAGATGCTTAATGAGAAAACCAGTTGGAAAACAATTTTAGAAAGAAGGAAAAAACACTAACTCACTATGTCATATAAAATAAGAAACTCTAAATTATTTACGAAAATTGGTATCAAATCAAATAGTAAATTTTCATAATCATTTCATTCGTCAGACTCATAATATTTCGGAAATACGCACAAGAACTAACCTCTACCCCGACTATTTCCTTCCTTCAACTTTTAAATTGTGGAATAAGTTACCGGAACAAAAAAGAAATTCTATTTCTTGAAGTATTTTCAAAAGTCGTATAAAAAGCAAAATAATAGCTGTCCTAAGTGTTACTGCATTGATACATGTACAAGAATAGATCAAATTTTTCATGCTAGGTTAAGGATGAGCATTTGTTGAAATCTAGTAGATTTTACAGATTGTTCATGTGGTCTAATCGAGTCTACAACTCATTATCTGGTTGCCTTGTAAAAAATATGACGGATTGCGAATCATTTTCTCAATTAAATATCTAGTCATACTAAACACAAACCTACTTATATCTGGCTCACAAGCTCTAACTTGAGACCAGAACAAGGATATTTTTGCAAAGGTACAAGAATTCTTAATAAAGTGCAAGATATTGTTATTGTAATTCACTTGTTATCAAAGTTGCATTTCATCTGAACATTTGTGTAGTATTTAATTGTTTTTTCTTCTTTTTCTTTTGTTGTATTTTTATTATTTTCAAATACTTTTTCTTCTTCTTTCTTTGTTATGTATTTTTTTTTATTAATTCCTGTTCCATATCATTGTAATAACATAAACGGTACCAATTCTGCTGCACCAGATGCGCATTTCGACAATCAATGTCTCTTCGGTGATGCGCGAGGCCAAAATATTTTAAAATCCAAAGCTTATCAAAAAGATGAGAGCTATAAACCAAAAAGGACAAACAATTATAGCCAAAGCCGGGCAACATTGCATGCTATGTTTATGAAATCGGTAATTGGAATTGGTATTTAAAGGAAACTGATTAATATAAATTATGTACAGCTTGATTTCGAATCCTAATATAATAGTGTATTTTCTTATTATAATATATTTGACGAATTTATATGTTTAAACTAATAAAATATGTCTCTGTTTTTTGTTTTTATAAGTGCAAACAAGGTCTAGCGAAAGCTTCAGAAAATGGTAAAATATTTTTTTTCTATACGGTGTTTACAATTGTGGTAACTAATGATAAGAAAAATTACACCTTATGAAGCAAAATGAATTAACCGAGCTACTTAAATCGAACGATTTCCAGACCAATACTATGATGTTCAAATATAAGATAAAGGGACAAAGTACAATGATTCTCATAATGTTTGATTAGAGGTAGCGGATATATCAACTCCCGAAAGTGCTGCAAATGGAAGAAGATGACGATGATCAATCACATCACGTACAGCGATAAATGTTACTCGCATAATTGGGACAATATTATGTTATAAGTCATATATATAAAGTCTGGAAGTTAACTTGGTAAATATTATTTAAACGGCCCATCCCAATATCACAGGGCAAGAGTGTGCATATTAAGGAGGCTATAAACAAATTAAATATGTAAATTAAAACAACCAGTTATTAGATAAAATAAAGTAAACATAATAAAAGCATAATGCAGCAGTGATTTAAATTCAATTTGTTCATCTATTTATTTTACTGAAGACGAGGGGAAAGTTTCTTGACATTTAAAATCTTAAATAAATACGAAAAACCCTAATAACTACTTATGCATAAAAAAATAAGATAACAAAATAGTCTTCTTACAATCAGGATTGTTTCAAATGCGGAAATAATTCAAGGAAAATTAACAATGAAAAACTTTAATGTCTGCTTATAAACTGGTGGGTTTCCCAAAATATTTTTTTAAAATGAAATTCCTCTTGTTGTACGGAGGACCTCAATACCACAACTTACGTGCAAAAAACATATTTGGGATATATGAAAAAGACTTATGAGGCCCTTCATCCTCCGATTACAAATATGACTTATAAGTTATTCAAAAGCCTATTGATATGCCATCAAGAATTATATAGTCAATATCAACAGTCTTTTTCAAAAATTAAATATATGCTAATTTTCTATATTTTGTCACTAAAATTTTGGTATTCATGCTCTTCGTAGCTTTCGAAATCGGTAGTGTGATCTATTATGGATTGCATATTATTTATTTGTCGACTACCATGATATTGTCCTTAATATGTATGAAATATTTGTAGTTTGACGTAAGTTATCCACCATCGGAACTGTTCTTGATTTGAACACTTTCAAAAGTTGACATATCCGTCCAATAATTGTAGACTAGATGATATGGCATTTGTCCCTTTATCGTCATTATCATTTTGTTGCTCTGGAAATTGTAATTTTTTGGTAGATGCAGTTTTGTTTTTAACTTTGCTTTCGTAAAGTGTTTTCTTTTCTTATTAATTACTCACCTTTGATAAACGATTAGGTAAAAAACAACCTACAAAATTGCGGGGGATATTATAACTGGGCCGTATGTCCGTTCGTACATAACACTCTTATGGACATCGTAGAGCCTGTGTTTCCCAACAAACTTTCATCTGGTATACAATATGTCAAGGTCACAAAAAGTTTTTTGTTGCGAGGGGATGCTCAGCTTCATGATGCCCTTGTTTATGGCGGTGTTCTTCCTAAACAGATTGCAAACAATTTGGAATGTTTTAGTTTTTAATTGTTAAATACATTTTTTTTTGTAAAGCAATAATCGTATAATAAATTATTTACAACACATAAAAGAGCCATTGATTAAAAAAAAAAAAAACATCAGTTCAATTATATGGAAATTGATGGTATTACAGCCAAAGTTAAATATTCGTCAAAGTAAAGTGGTTTTATATATATACATGTATTAAATACAAAATTAGAGGTAAATTTTGAACGAAAATGTAGTTAATAAAGTAGACAAATATTAAGCGTAACAGCTAAAACCGTCTTTCTCTCAAGTGCGCTGTAATCGTTTTACATCTGTTTGAAAACAATCGTTTACTATACTGACTAAACGAACACAAGATAAACAGGCGCTAACTTGATCAAATATAAGAAATGTTTATTTAAACATCTTCACTTAATTTTATCAATCGCACGCGTTTATTTTTGCAATTCAAACTTCATTATTAATCACCAACTAAAGGTTCTTTTAAACATGCACGGGCTTTAAGTTTATTACATTGATACAAATATAATTGCCTTTTTATAAACAAGGCGAGTTGTATTTGTGTGTGTCTATCATGGTCTTTAGTTCTTCATTTTACGCACGTTTGGCTTCATTGATTCAGCGTTGTTTTTGCTACGAGCGACCTTGATGAAGGTGATTCAAGACACACCTGTTGCGTACACGGAATGTGTTTATTTAAACGTTTTGATTTTAATGAACTGGTTTGGTGTGATGGGACAATAAAAATTAAATAAATTTTGTTCCAACTTATCGATGACAAAAGAAGAAGAGAAATTATGTGACCTCTGCAATTGCAGAAATGTTAGAATTTTCAATACTTTCAATTTTTTGTTAATTTTATTGATAAATTAAACAATTGTTTATTTTGGTATTTTCAAAAGAGGGTTGTCATTTTTTATATGTAAACCAGACATATTTATAACATAAATCAATCTCTGTCTCTTGATAACAGTGATTCAGACAGACTTCATAACGTTAAATCAACATAGATATGTTATAAAAATTTCGTCGGACATTTTTTAAGAATTCAACAAAAATTTTCATAGTCAACACATTAGGAGAAAGATTGGGAAATGTACTGTGACCGGTGCAAAGCTGAATCATTGTGATAGCTGAGGTTCTAACTCCCACAGACAATATTGAAATTAGATGGAGATGGATTTGGTTAATTACACTCTTCACGAGTTTCGATATTTATACATCATTTGCTTTAAGATTTGTGGCTTTGAGCGTTCCCGGTAAACGTTAAATCAGAAAATCGATTCAGACGCATAAACTTTATAAAGTGTTATTTTCTTATTAGAAGACACCTGGTGTTTGCACTGCATTAATTTCGTTTCATTCATTCTGATAAAGATAATCACCGGAAATCCACTTTCTCAATTTTAACCATGTAAAGTCATGATCATTACAGTCTTCTGGCCACTGGATAAATAAAACATAGTTCCAAATATGAGTAAGTCCTTCAGGAATATCTTTTAAAGTGATGTCTTTAGATATGACTATAATATTTTCAATGTTCTGCATACTTATTTCATGTTTCACTCTATCAATTTCAAAAAGACAGTCTCGCGAGTCTTTAAATATTGGAGTAAGTAAAAATATAACATGTCTACTGTTTTCTATGCTATCTGCCTCTGCATCATAAAATGACTCGCCGCCGTAAAAGTCGCGATCTTTTACGCATATTTTAAGTTTCCATTCGTCTTCTAGTTTTGGAATGAAGTATTGTTTTATCCAAGGTATGCAATCCCCTCCATATGAAACGAAAACGTCATATGTGTATTTTTTACCATATTTCTTTTCAACAATTTTTCGAAATATGCGGTAAAAAAATATAGCTATGCTCCATCGTTTACTGTATAATAGAAGTACCACAGCCACAATACAACTTGTTCCTAACAAAGTGGAAGAGACCATCAACCATATTGAATTTCTACAGTGGGAAAACAAATCATGCATGTTTTCATATGCTTCGATTACGGTTATGACTGTTCCGTTCAAAAGTGTACATTTGTATGATCTGTTGTCTAGATTTACTTTGGTTTCTTGTATCCACTCGATGAAATCCAAATTATCACAATTACATTCAAATGCATTGCCATTAAGAAAAAAATGTAAACCATGTTTTTGATTCATTGAATCCGCCCAAACACGTGTTTCATAATCCACTGTTGGTAATAAGTTATTACCAAGGTCTAGGGACTTAATATTATTTTGAGAAATGATCTCCTTTGGAATGGACTGAAATAAATTGCTAGACAAAGATAATCCTGATAGATGATACATATTAATAAACAAATTTTCTGGTAAAATATAAAGATTATTATCTGACATATCAAAATATTCGAGATATTGAAATTTTCTAAAAAGTGCTATAAATCTTTTAAGAAACATGTCATCTGAACGAGCATTCATAATATAAAACAACCTAGCACTTCTCCACGATAGAGTTTTTACATTAATGAAATTAACTAGCTCTATTGTGTACAATGTTATGTGGTAATGACCATCTAAGACCAAAGTTTCAGTTTTGTATGTAGCATTTCCTTCAAAAATTACAGCATTGTTTGTATGACTAAACGACACATCGAGGTAAGTCAAATCGCTTCCTCGACGTATAAAGAATAATCTAGGAATATCATAGCAGAGTACATTACCCAACACTAATTTTTCTAAAGAACGTGGTAAATATATTATATTGTTAGAAAAATGATTATCTTGTGCGTAATGATGAAAATCATTCGCAAATAGCTTATATCGAACGGGAATAAAAGAATAGTCAAATGTTTTCAATGCAACAGATTTGTTAAAAAATGTTTTTAACTCGTCCATTTGTCTTCCATTAGCAAACGCAAACCGGTTTCCCTTTAAATATAAATGTTTTAAACACTCTGGTCGATCAAATGACAATAGCGAGTTTTTATCAAAATCAACAATCCCGTTGTCGGATAAATCTAAAGTTTCTACACAAACAGTTTTCAAATATTTCATCATGTCTTTTGTGATAGTTAACGCAAATGGATATTCATTATCATTGAAGACGGGACAGTTGAGACCCCGAAGATTCATTATTTCAATAGTCTTGCCATCATATGGTGACAGCATGTTCAGAGCCTGTTTAAGATGCATGCATGATTCTTCAAAATGTATCTTGGTAATATTAGGAAAAGGGAAAAGAGCATTATTTTCCACTTCCAAAAAATTTAAATGACATCTAGTCAGTTTCAATTCGTCTAGATTCGAAGAAAAGTTTTCGAATGTATATCCTCGTAGATATTTTAAAAAACAGAATTCAAAAGTTAATGATTTCAGGTTTTTCAGCCCTTGAAATCCTATTCCAAAATATGGATTTGGAGCCACATCTATTGCTAAGTATTCTAGCTTTTTCAAAACGGCAAAGGCTTGATCAGGATAATGGTATAAATCCGCATTCGGTTGATTCTGAATATTCCGCCGTATGTCTAGATTAGTCAGATTTTGCAACGGCAAAAGTATTTCTGGAGTATACACATATCTCAGGTTCAAATTGTTGTCAGACATATTCAAATACTTCAATCGGCTTAATCCATAGAATGCTTGTTCCTCAATAATGTGAAGTTTGTTTTCAGCCAACGATAAATTGTGTAATAAACTATAATTCTCAAAAGAAAAATTACTGATAACACGAAGTTTGTTTCCCCTAAGATCGAGAACGGCGATATCATGTGGAAGTGTCTGTGGAACTTCGTTAAAACCTCTTCTACTACAGTCTGCTATCTTCGCTTGTTCTGATAAATGTTCATAAACTGTTATGTTACATTCTTGAGCATATACTAAAGAAAGTAACATGATAAAACCTTGTACTATTTGATATCTATAGTAATACATCCTAATAAATATGTTTGATACAGATATATGTAACTATAACGTTATAATTACACAATATTACACGCACAAATGAAAAAAAAAACAGATCACACAATCACTTTGTTTTTTTGACTTAAATTGATTCTGATGTCAAAAATTTATCCGTCCACAGTCACAATAAATGGTACACTATTTCATTTTAAATGTCTTTCAAAACCAACTCTTTGCTATATGAATTGACACAACCAATTGAAGGAATCTACCATACGCTTTAACTAAAATCATTCAATATGTTTTCTTCCGGGTAACTTTTGTCTGTGTTAATTTGAAAAAATATGTAACCACCCAGGTGTAGAAATATAATTAGGTCTTTCCACTTTTCTGTGGAAAGACCTATTGTATTTGTTCTGATTATTATTATTATTATTTTTTTTTTCCGCCAACTTTTGAAATTTTTGTTTCGCAATATGTCGCTTAGATATTTCTCATATTGTATTGTATAGTTTATGCGCTTTTAAATTTCACCCTGCTAAGCCGAATCATTTTCTTTGCAAGAGTTATCTCCCTATTCACTGTTTATCATCTGTGTGCATCTCCTTCGTAACAAAAAAAGATATCGACAAGATTCTTTTTCTAAATTGTTTGTTACATCCTCAGGAATTTTTGCCTAATTTGGATCGAAGCGATCAAGTGAGATCTTAAAGGAGTTATCTGCCCTTACCAAATTAATTTGTCGTTATGTTTTTGTAACACGTAAACCGTAAGCCGTATAAAAAAAAATTGACCAAAATGTTAGTCGCGACATGATATAACTGGAAAGTTTTTGTCAAAATGGTACGCGTCATTGTTTTAGGGGTTCCATGCCAATGAAATAGTAAAATGAACAAAATGAACTAATTATAGCCTCAAACTTTGCAGCTATCATGATGTATACATGCATCTTATCTTAATTTATCAACCAAGGTCCACCATCCTCCACTTACCTCCCCCCTCCCCTCCCTCCCTTTTTTTTTTTTTTTTTTTCCTTCTACTTTGAGGAATCCCGTTTCGCCTTGAAGTTCAGTCCTGTACATTTGACTGTAAAAATGCAATCCTTCTGATGTACAAACTTCTTAAATAGAAATTCATTCCTGCAAAAATCGGCTGCAATTCATGTTCCCGTTAGACGCGGTCCGCTTGATTGAGAAATAAAATTCAATGACGTAGAAAAATCGTAAATATTGCTGAAATCCTACAATCAAATGTTTTAATCATGCATTAAAATACAAATCTGTGCTCCCGTAAACATGTGTACGTAAGATGCATGCATGATCCGTCATCAATGACCTGTAAATAATAAAACCAATAGTGATGGTGTTTCTCCGATCAATACACATGTGCTCTGTTCAACGGTCTCCCCTGAAAAGAAATTAATATTCTAACTCCAGACATATATATTCGAGCGTCACGTGACTTCAAAACATCATCACGCGCGCGGACCTAAAATTAGAATAAAACATTCGAGATCCATATCCAAATATGGAAAGTGAAACTTCCAAGACAAATACTCATTTTTTTTCTTCCTACAAGTTGAAACAAAATGTACACACAACACATAAAAGAAACCATGAAGTATCAGTTCTCGTAGCAAATAGAGAAAATTAGAAAAAAAAGAAGCTGTTAGGATTTTTATTTATTAGGAAATCCTGAAGCTGTCATTTTGGGAGTGCTGGATATACAAGTACGCAGCCTCGTCAGAATATGAACGTCAAGTCCGAAGCCTCGCATAGAGAGAGTGTCATGCAAACTGTCAATCAATCAATCAATCAATCAATCAACCAAGCAATCAATCAATCAATCAATCAATCGACCAACCAACCAACCAACCAACCAATCATGTTTCGGAGGGGAAAGACCGTTTAACAATTGTTTTTAAAACAATTGATTTATATTTATCATTTGTAAAGCGAATTGACTGAATTCATATAATAGTAAAATATAGCTTGAATACGTATAGCGGTGAGTGTATATAGACAAAACTGTGAGCTTTATGTCATTTACAAAATCATCAAATAGTAAAAATTGAAAAAAAAAGACATTTTCAAATGTAATAATCGTACCATGATTTTTAGACAACGATATATTTTAATAAAAACAAAAGAGAAAAGAAATAGAAATACTACGACTACTTCCTAGAATTTTAATTTTCAAACTTTTAATGAAAGTATTTACTTACATGAGCAACACGACGGGTGCAACATATTGAGCAGGATCTGCTTACCTTTCCGGAGCACCCGAGATCTTCCCAGGTTTTTTGTGAGGGTCGTGTTGCTCAGTCTTTAGTTTTTTATGTTGTGTTTTGTATACTGCTGTTTTTCTTTTGGTCTTTTGGGGTTTTTTTTGTCATGGCGTTTTTAGATTATTTTCGACTTATTGTATGAATGTCCCGTTGGTATCTATCGTTTTTTTTTTTAATTAGTTCTGTTTCGATTGTTAATATTTGTCAACGTGAGAATTGCTTTATCGTAACAATTAAAAAATAATAAAAAAAATTGTATAAATAAAAAAGAAAGATATTTTCATATGTAATGATTACGACTACTTATTCGATAGAAATCAAGAATTGTCAACGTGAAAATTACTTTACCGTAACAAGTAAAAGATTCTTAATATACACTTTTAAAGGAAGCCGTTAAAGTATTGTCATACTGCATAATTTTCGAATATCAATTTCATTTAAAAACTGTAGTCGCAAACAGATTGATAAAAAAATATTAAATAGTCTTGTCGATTTGTGCAAACATTTCATTTTTTCCTATAGATTTAAAATGCTCTTCGACATTGCTACGAACTTTTTTTCTTTCAAAAACTCGGTTTTCAATAACGAAATCAAAGCAGAATTCGTAATAATGGAATCTTCTTTAGAAAAAAAAACCTATATGGTTTCTTGAAGCAGGCGGGGCTGACAAGAATCTTGAAATTTCAACAAACAGTCAGCATTTCTTTTGATTCATATTGTAACACCCTACTGTCCGAAATTGTGTACTGATGTGAAGCAGAAATCATACAAACATACAAATCTTTCTCAAGTACAAAAAGGATATGAATCTTGCCAAGTTCCTGGATATCATTTTCATATTATATGGATTATTTCCTGTCAATCAATTACTTGTATTTCAGTGAGTGCATGCATCTCATATATCCTAATGAACTTTAAATTTAGAAGGATACTAACGAAACAGACGGTAAGCTTCGAATCATGATATTTTCCATGATATTGACACTGATTGTTGCCTTCAAACTAGAAAATATGATAAACGTGATGATTTCAGCTTATCATTGTCGGATTCCCTTCTTTCTCAAAGCTGAAGCATACCCACTGGCCTGTCGTATGGTGTTTAAATATTTCAATTGATATGTTACGCTCATATATGGTCATATTTTACAGACATCATTAACTGGAGTGTGTCCTGACATAAAAAAACCACTCTAACATGTTATCAGGAAGATAACTAGTAACTGAGGTGCCTCGGTGGCCGAGTTGTCTAAGTAGTCAAACTACGGTATCACTAGCATGTCACCACTGAGGTGAGTTCGAATCCCGCACGTGGCAGGTGTGTCCGACTTCAATCTTAATTGACTAGGATTGTCAGTTTTCTATCGAAGGTCGCTGGTTCTCTCAAGGCACCCCGGCTGCCTCGATCAATAAAAACTGACCGCCACTAAATAGTACTATAGTGTTGAATGTAGAATTAAACACAAATCAATCAATCAATCAATACTAGTAACTGAAATCGACACCACATAGTTTGACGGTCACCATTACGACTTAATTTACCTATACGATATGTAATCAGGCTGAAACTCGGTAGCGATAGGATTTTCTACTGCTCTGTTCCTACTACTTTTGACCCTAAAGCAACTTTTATAATCCAAAGAAAGGATTACTCTTTAATCGTTTTCATTTCATCCCGATTGATTCGATCAGAAGAAAGCAACATACACTGATACAACGTATTGAATATTTATCCCAAATAGCACTTTTTTGTCAAATTTAAGCTTTTCAAAAATCCAATCTCAGCCGCTAAACTTCCATGCAGGTTTCAATTAATATCAATTCATGGATATAAAAATAATATCTTTTCATTGATTTACAATAATTTCATTTAATTGATTAAAAAAAATACATGTCACACATAAAAAAACACATATTCTCCAACAGGAGTTTTAGTACAGAATCCAATATAAAAAGGACAATTTATTCGAACAATCACGAATAATGCAAGACGTATTTGTCGTTTTATTTTATAACATAAGTTTAATCATAAGTTTGATCAAGAAGTTTACGAATCCATGATTATTTATTACAATATTTTGAAAAATATTTGATATTATTACAATATATCCCGTTAAAACAAACATGATGATTTATGTATACCTAAGAATATCAGGAATGACGTTTTACATCAAGTTATGGCATGTCCTTCTCCCTAATTGTTGCCACATGGTATCAATATGATCAAAATACAACAACCAATGCCAAGTCTGTCGTGATATTGGGTTCAAGACGGCACATTTTATAAGTTTTTAATTGAAATTTTTTTCTAAAATGAATTTGCATGAAATTTAGAAACAATAAATTGGAAAGAATAAAAATAAGAAACATATTACGTCTGTTAGTATAGGCCATTGTTTTTTTCTGTTATCTCCATAAATCTTTCATTAAATTTCATAAAGCATAAACAAACACTTCGACAAAAAGATCGACAGCCCTTTTCTCATTGTCATTCTATAGAAATAATTATAGTAGACATGATTTGCACTTTTATTTAGATAGAGTGTAAACTGTTTACACAAATCATACATTTATGAATATCTTATATCAGTTCCTAATTTAAGCATGTTGATAAGAATAATAGATTATGTACAGACTGTAACGCTAGCTCTATTGAAGATGAATGTCACTTTATACTTGAAAGTCTTAAAATAAATGAAATATACACACTAATCCAATTGTTATCTGTCAGAAATATGAAATTGAAATCAGCAGAAAAACTTAGAATTAAATTGCTCACAAATTGTGTTCATTAGATATATCATTCTCCGCTCGTACTTTGTATCATCAACTACATGAATATTGTATTTTATGAACATTCTTATATTTATAGATTGAGAATAAGGCTCATGGCGATTAGTTTGTGCTGTCCGAGAACATTTGATAAGAATATAAGAATGACTAAGACATATATAAAATGT